CCGTCCCAGCAGGGGTCGGCGGATTAAGGCTTAGAATTGAAACTCGAGAACCCTTAGTCAGCAAGCAGTCGTTGTCTTTGATCCCGCTAGAAATGCACCCTAAACCCTAAACCCTAAAAGCCCTAAACCCTAAAAACCCTAAATGCTAAAACCCTAAAGCCCTTAAAGCCCCAAACCCAACACATCATCTGCTTTGAAGGTGGCGCTGATGATTTCGAACTCTTTCATGGCCATGTCACTCCTGGTCGGTTTCCTGCCCGGCCCTTGGCTTAGGGCCCCAAGTTTACGGCTTAGGGTTTGAGGGTTTTGGGGTTTTGGGTTTAAGGTTTTGGGCTTAGGGGTTTAGTTTGATTGACAACCTTCTCTCACCCACAAATCTACCCAGGTGCCTACACTACCAATGGCATTCCTTTGGTTTCATCACGGCCGTTGGCATCATGGGCCTCGCAACTCCAGGCCACGACCGTACGCGTTCAGGCTTCAGCCATGTTATAGTGCTGAGATTGAAAGGCAGGTTTGAGCTTCAGACTCCGACACCATATGAAACCCCCAAGCCCTAAACCCGAAACTCACGGTCAAACTTTCCGGGCAAGAGATCTCCATTCGGGGCGGTCTTTGCCGCTGAAACTTGCGACGACGCACGACTGGCCCACAAAGTGCCCCCGGAAACCTCTCGTATAGTTTCTAGGCCATTCAATCCTGCATGTGCAAGACAAAAACCGTGGTATTTACAGATCACTCCTTCGATCAGAAAGGTATCAAAAGCCTTGGGAGCCACAATGCCTAGGAGGCATAATATCCTGACACCCCCAGCCAGTATAGCCGATGGCACCTATATCCTCCGGGATAAATAATTACCAATATCATTCCTTAGGGTTCCTTGTGATAAGTACTCACAACCATTGAGCCCCCCGACGAAGCCTTGTCAAATCCACCATGCAACTCCACACAAGTTACAAGCATACGCAACATAATATAATACGGCCTCACACACTTTTAAGTACCATGCAGTACAAGGCAATGCCTGGCAGAACTCGCGCCTGTCAGCATGTTTCTACACATGGGACTTTCCGAAAATTAGGGGCACCTTATTTTGGGGTCCTTAATTATAATAAGGATCCTACTATTTAGGGTACTATATTAGGGTCCCCTATATTCGGAAACCCCCACAGACTTCCGGACGGCCCTGTCCGGAGGCTGGGGCTGCTCCGCCGAGCTGGGTAGTGAGGCCTGGTTCGGATGTCGGACCCTAAGCCTCTAAACCCTAATACTAAACCCTCTAAGTTCAGGGGTTTAGGGGTTTAGGGTTTAGGGTTTTGTCGTGCTGGGTGTGGTTTGTAGTGCTGTTGCCGGTATTATCTGCTGCCATGGCCTCAGAATGAACATTGCTACCGCATTCATGCTGATATTTCGTGCAGAGCAGCACGGTCCACTAGAAGGGCCCGTAAATAGTTGCACTAAGCATTTGAGTGTGGTGTACTGTACTACAGAAGGGTTCCAAAGCGCCAAGAACATTGATGTTGGGGATACTAATAGTACACGACCCGCTTCGCATGGCCTGGCTTCGTTTGCAGCTGTGAGTGTCGGTGTGTTCCCCTGGAGCAATACTCAGAGTTTAGGGATTATAGTATATTTATGCTATATTATATTATATTATATTATATTATAGGGTTTAAGGGACCAGGGGTTTAGGGCTCTAATCCCTAAAGGCCTTAAACCCCGAACAGCTTACCTCTTCAGTGCGGTCGGGAGGTCTGCTTTCCTGCCCGGGAAGCCACAGTGAACGGGCTGATGGAGGCACAGAGCCCGGGTTTCGAGTGGGAGCGCTTAAATCAAGAACGAGCTGAGTTTGAGGGCCAAAAAGGAGCGAGCTGAGTAACTCGAAGTACTTCCCTACTAGCAACTGGTATTATGATTCGAGTCCCGAAACCCTAAACCCTAAACCTTAAATGCTTCTAGTATAATGTCTTGTAACTATCATGACCTCTATGCTAGGGCTTCAGGCTTCAAAGTTTAAGGCTTCTTGGCTTCGATTTTAGGGTTCAGGGTTCAGAGGCGCGCGTGTCTTCGTGCTTTGTCCTCGGAGAAGTCCAGAGAAGGCTTTGCTGCGCTGAAAGGTCTGAAGCCAAGTTCAGGCACTGCATGTGCTTACAACCAAAAAAGGTCGAAGACACTGCCAGTGATTGTAAAATACGCTAAAGTCAGAGTGACAGTATCACAATAGCATACGTCACTAGTTAAGCTAGGGGTTCACAGGGGGAAGACGTTAGGGCTCAGGGTCTCAGCTTTTGGGTTTAGGGTTCAGGCTCTGTTTTTGGTTGACGTTGCTTAAGTATTCAGGGCTTCCAGAAGCGAAGAGGGATCTCGACTCTGGCTAGGCACAGAGTTGGATGCGTGATTGTATACTTATTCTTTTAATAAAAAGAAGAAGAACAACAATAGAAATAATGATGATGACAACAACAATAGCACTATTATTATGGCGGGGGGGGGGGTTCACGACAGTTTATTAGTAAGGGGTTGATGGGGTTTCCACAAGAGTGTTAAAATCATACGTGCAGAGAGCTCGTGCCACGATGCAGGAACCCTACACCCTGAACCCAATAAGCCCTAAACGACCGATGCCCTAGCGCCCCAGTTTCAAGAAGTCTGCTCTGCACTTGTGCAGGCCTTCAGCAACTTAGCCGGGGTGGCGGCCATCGTGCAGCGCTCAGAAAAGGGTGTGCGCCCTCTTGGAATCTTTCAGGGCCCCATGCCTTTATGGGTAGTTCTCTAAATTGGGGTCCATTTTAGGGTCCTTTTTATAAGCGTGTCCTACTTATTGGGGACCTAAAGAAAAGGGGACCCGATTTAGAGGACTACCCTTATCTTAGTCTTAGTAGCTGACTAGGCAACCTGATCCTTGTTGGGTCGATGCCTAGTACTATAGATTTGTGGGTACTACACAGAAAGCCTCTAGCTGTTGTTTGGGCTCTATATTGAAAATGGCGGAGCCCTCATTGAAAAAATGTATATACGACATCTTGCACACACATGTATATATATATATGTATGTAACTGTATGTATATATATATATACAATTGTGAACATTTTAAGTTGCATGTGTGTATATATATAGGTTAACTGATTTATTTACTTATTTAATGTGTGTGTGTGTGCGTCTGTGTGTTTCACACAGGTCCTATCCTAGATTAGATTTTGCGAGTCTAGCTCTTCAGAAAATCGAACACAGAGGACCAAAAGAAGAAAGAGGGATAATGTTCAGGGTGTAGGCTAGGGGCTTGAGTCATGAATAACACGATCCCTTATGGTGTCAAAGCAGCCTTGATGTCGTTTGCAGAACTGCATGCAATATGTTTGTATACATGCATACATACGTACATACACGCGAAACTGCATGCATGCATGCATGCATGCATGCATGCATGCATTTACTTGTGCGGTGACTGTACTTGTTTGCTTGTTTTTTCTGTATGCATGTCGGATCGGTTCAGTGGTGTCGAGGCGATTGTAAGGGGGGAGGGGTTTCAGGGAGAAAAGGGCCCACACCTTCATTCCTGGTCCATGTAGGCCTGGTACCGTGCGAAGCCGAATCCTAAAGTCCTCAGCCCTAACCCCAGTGAGCTCATCCCTGCAAAGGGTTCAGATGGTTTAGGGGGTTTAGGGTTTAGGAATCCCGAAACAACTCATGGACAAAGCGCAGTCACCCCGGAACCTAAACCCGGACATCCATGCATCCTGATCTCTAGTTTTTAGGCAAACAAATCTTTACGGCTCCTCTGCTCCTTAGGTCATGGCCCAGGAGGGCATCGATCAGCACCTAGGAGCTGGGGTACCTCAGCTGAAAGTTGATGACAGGTTCGCAGACTGTAATGTTTTGTGTTAAGGCTTTTTTGGCCTGGGGTTTGGGTCACAAATTTTGTGTGCAGGGTTTCGGGTGTGGGGCCCACGTAGGTTTCCTGGCCCTAAAGTTTCGACTCGAGTGGGGGAGGGGGTTGGATAAAGGGTTCAGCTTTGCCTTGCAAACTCTCGCATGCTTGCAGAACAATCAACGTGCCCCTAAATCCTACTGTACTGCCCTTTTGCTACGCAGGCTTTTCTTTACTACACCTCTTTGGGACAAAGGTGTGGGCACAGGCCTAGCGCTTTGGAGGTTGGCGGTTGCCCCAAACCCCAGACCCTTAATCCCTCGAAACCCCTTGAACCCTAGACCTAAACCCTGGAACCCTAAGCCCTAAAACCCCCAAAACCCTAAAAACCCTAAAGCCCTAAAACCCTAAAAACTCTAAAGCCTAAAGCCCTAAAAAACCCTAAAGCCCTAAAGCCTTACGACCCTAAAACCCTGAAGCCCTAAAGCCCTAAAAACCCTAAAGCCCTAAACCCTTAGCCCTTTCCGGGCGCCTCGGAGGTGCTGGCGGTCATGGCCACTACGGCTCTGGCAGGGGCGCTCCTGCTGGTGCTACTCTCAGGCACGTCGCACGCTCGTTTTAGGTTTCAGGGGTTTAGGGCTTTCGGGGTTTAAGGTTGGTCCCCCCCGAAGAGTCTATTGTACGGGGGTCTGAATTGTTAGGATAGGTTATTTATATATATATATATGTATATATATATACAAAGAGAGAGAGGGAAAGAGAGAGATAGAAATATATATATATATATAGAGGGGTTTATGTGTTTTAGGGCCTCATACAGGCTCCTGGATAATTAGAGCTTCGTAGGATTTTGCGTGGGTGGATTTACTCGTATCCATGAGAATTGGATGTTAGGGACTACGCTAAGATGATGATATTGAGGGTGTGAGGGAATAGTAGTAGTCATTATTCAGACCCTAGGCTCCAAAGGGCTCTTCCATACAGAGCCCCTACTTGAGTTTGAGAAGCATTCTTAGTAAAGGCGGCTTGAGATGTCTGTGTGTTCCTAGGAGGCTTGGGTCGTCCATGGTACTTTGTGGGAGTGGCGATGTGGGATGTTGTACTCGGGAGGATAGGGGTTAAAAAAAATGCTTAAGGCGTTTAACGGGCCAAAAAACATTTAAGGGAGCAAAAATACTATCTAAGGGACCATTTAAAAAGCAGACTACAAGGCAAAAGACAACGGAACACGCAAAGCATAGCATACCCCTTCGATAGAGGGGTGGGGCCCCCCCCCCCCACCCCCTGGCCCTGTTCTTTTCCCCCCCCCTCTGGTCCCCCCCCTTCAACGGTATCTATACAGTGTTTATCTTGTTTTCATAAAGGTTCTCCACGAGTTTTACGCAGTCTATGCAGAGTTTCACTTGTTTAGGAAGTTTAGGGTTTGGGATCCCGCAGGACTTGATAATAAGTGAGAGACTCTGCCCCTAAGCAGTTTCACGGGATTAGAGGTCTCATATGCTCCTTTGCCTCAAACCCCAAGCCCCGAAAACTCCCAGGCGAGACTACAGCTTCTGAAACATTCGCAATCGGCTTGCCCATGCCTACCAACGGCAAGGCTGCTCGTGGAACTGCTGCTCGCACGCGAGCTCTGCTCGGCGCCAGCGGAAATTCTGTCCATGAAAGAATTCACAGTTGGCCGCAAGGCGGGCCAAGGCAGTGCGATCCGAGCAGACCGTGGCGCGAAGAGAGCTTCATCAGGTCTGCAACCCCTTTCTTCTCCGGCCGATGGACTTATTTCCACGCGCTGCATAGCTTGCACGCTTTCCGGCCTTTTTGTGCACAGCTGCCGTATTGATGCGCATCTCCACGTCTTGTGGTAAGAGGTCCGCGCTGCCACGAAACACGACGACCCGGCAGTCCTCTGCGGGAGTTTCCTGGATGCTCAGCAAGGCCCGGCAGTCGTTGTTGGCCATCTGAGGGTGCGGCTGATGCCAGCCTGGTGAGGCTTCCCGCGCACCTTTGCCGTGGCCGCCCTGCTGCTCATGGTCTGTCTCTGTTCGACGCTCTTCAGCGCCTCGGCCAGGCACATGGCAAGGCCTGTGCCATGTGGTCCCGGCAAGTTCTTCAAGGAGTCTGTGGACACCCTTCCAGTCTGCGCCGATGCTGATGTTCACAAGCTCGTGGACATTCTGCACGGGTCGCTTATTCCGTGCTTTGTGCATGGACCACCCCCAAGATGCCAAGGCTGGCGAGAGTACGAAATGGCTGGCAGCCTCCACCTCCACACCCACTGCTTTGTTATTGGAGCGGCAGTGTTGTTGGAGGTCGCTAAACAGGACTGTGGAACCTAAACATCCTTGCACTTAGTCGGACCATATTTCGAAGTTTAGGTAGGATTTCTTATTCGTGTGCACTGATCGGTACGCCGGGTGGCCCCAGCGCTGAGGCCGTTGCCGTGTTCGGCAGCTTGGAGCCATTCCCGCAGCACTGGGGCTTGCCTGACAAGAAGTCCAACCAGAAAGAGGCAGATGCAAAGCACAAAGCTGCAACTAAGGCCAAGGCATCCGGTGCGATGGCAAAAGCCACCGAGACCCTCAAATCCAAGGAAAATGAGTTTGAGGTTGAGAACCTCAGGAAGAATGATTTGGAACATAGACTGGTTCGGCAAGAGCTTGCCAAACTCCGTTCCAAGGACGAGGCTCTCTTTCCATGCAGCCCCCATGGTTCGCGCTGATGGCTGCGTCAATGTCCCCGGGGATTCCTTGCAATGGTCCACTGTACTCGTGGACTGCCCAAAGTTTTTTAACGTAGACTTCATGTCGGCCAAAAAGATCGACGGCTGGTCGTTTCAAGTTTACACCTGGTTCAAACGAGCAAACCAGGAGATGGAAAAGACCCCCCCGTCCAGGGCCTGCTTCAAGCACCTCCTGGAAACAATACCCAAACTGGAAATCATCTAGTGCAGAACAGCTGCTTGAGCACAGCAATCGGGGTGGAGCTGGGCAGACGGGCAAAAAGGAAGCCTCCGTGCTGCGACACTGTCAGGCTTTGAGCTTCTGGAGGGCTCAGGCATTAGAGTGAAGCAGACTAGGTGCTGGATTCATCAACCTTACATCCACCATTTAGTGTACTTTTTGCCGCGTCCACACAGTTGCCCAGATAAATCTAAATTTACATCCACCCATTTCAGTTCTACACCAAGCCACGTAAATCTAACCTGGAAGCACATAAGCAAGTGGGATATTTTAAGCGATGCGAACCTGCTTCACAGAATGGCATACCATCAATGGACCTTCCTTCAAGGAGCCTTTCTAGGAGCATTCTGTTTGCAAGTGGCGTGGGCGCCCCCCCCCGCCCCCCTTTGCCTTTTGGCCATGCAGGCTTGTTTTCAAGAGCGGCGTGCTATGCCCTCCCGTTCTTTTGCTATCCGAAACAGAGAGTGCGACCAATACTGCCAGCCGTGATGAGAACATATGAGACTACGAGAAGTGGCCTTCAGCAGAATGATAAGAGCGCGCTGACCATGTATTCAAGGCAACTGTTCGTTGATTGTTCATCGATTTGCGCGTGGCCTTCATTGGTAGGTGTGTTTGGGGGAGGAAGCAACAATAGCTTGATACAAGTAGCACGGCCAGAAGGATTTCCCCCGAGTACTATCGGGTTCTGTTGGATTGACAGAATTGCACTGGCGGGATTCCGGAAGCATGTCAAGAATGTAATGAGGGGTCGTGTTTAAGATATATTATCAGGGAGCGTGTTTAGTGTAATATCTATATTTATAGTAATATCTATAATATCTACAATATCTATAATATCTAGAATGTCTAGAATATCTATATTATCTATATTATCTGAATTATCTATATTCTCTATATTCTCTATATTCTCTATATTATCTATATTATCTATATTGTCTATATTATCTATATTATCTATATTATCTGTATCTATATATCATGAACCGGACTCGCCAGATCAGGGGGCGTGTTCAACATAGACGATGAACCAGAATCGCCAAATGAGGGGCCGGGTTTAAGATAAAGGATGAATCGGAATCGCCAAGTGACGCGGCATGTTTAACGAATATGATGACCCGGAACCGCCAGCGTGTTTAAGATATATGATGAGCCGGACTCGTCAAATGAGAAGGCGTGTTTAACAGATCTATGCCAGCAAAGAAACACAAACACACACACACATACACACCCGGGCGCGGCCGGATTGCGTTCCGGACCAGAGCCAAGAGGCTCTAATCCAAGTATTGGCGCTTCTCAGGCACGGAGCGAAGATTGTCACGCACGGCCAGCAGGATTTACACCCCGAATTCTAGAGGGTTCTGTTGGACTGACAAAATGCTCTTCCCTATAATGGTGGAATTCCGGAAGCAAACGGAGGGCAAGCCCTCCACCTGGAACGCACGTTATCTTGCCTCCTTTCTATGTTGCTTACAAAATAGGAACAGTTTGACTGATCCGTAAAATAGTTGTGTTTGGATCTTTTAGTTAGATTGCCTCCTGTCTGTGTTGCTTATAAATTGAGGAATAGTTTTTTTCATCCCTTAAAGGGTCGCCCCAGCCTAGTCCTCTGCCTACAATTGTTACATGTGACTCAGTGGGGTCCACTGTTTAACCAGTGCTTGGGACTAGACGCCGCAAGATGCTTTTTAGTGTTACAGCAAAACAAAAAATAGCTCTTCAGCAGACTGGTCGAGCAGTTCGCCTGTGTTGGTCTTTCTCCAGACACCCTTGACCTTAACCGTAAACCGCCCCTATATTGTGAGCGTACCCGGAACCTCGAATTTTGGCCTTGGGTCTGCTTGCTTGAACCTTGCCAGTAAGGACAAGGCCAGGTCGGATCCTCTGCATCCGGGATCCGCTTTTGGCATTGGGTTCCTAGTTTAAGTACCGTAGAGCCCTGATTGATGAATTTTTTTAAACGCTGGTATAGCACAAGGGTCTACATTATGTACGAAGTGAAGCCCTGTGTAAATATGTACGACAGTAAAGCCCACAGGTCCACCCCCAAACCCGTCCAGAATGACAAAGAAGCCGAAACGATCAAGCTCTGGGCCCTGGGCCTAACCCTGCACCCAGCCCCATCCTTGTTTCCCCCGAAGAGGTCGGCTGCGCCGTTGCGAGGCTGGCCCCCTCGGCGCTGAACGTTACGGGGTTTACGGTATATTGGGGTTTGGCGTTCAGGGTTTAGGGTTTGACAGTTTTAGTAGGGATTCTTCTGCTTCGCGTACTGCGTGAGCTTGTACATTTGGGGTGAGGGGTTGTTGGAGATGTTCCGGATCAGATGTGTTGACGGGAAAGGTTGCTGCAATATCTGCAATGACGCCCCGATCCCCAAACCCTTAACCAGCTGCAAGAAAGTTGGTCAGATTGAGCGGTAAGTTGTAATAACCGTCCAAAATCAGTGATGTGATCAAAGTGCTTTGAGACCCCAATATATCCCTAAAGTAGGGGTCCCGAATTTTGACCCGTGCTCCAAGAGTCTTCGGGGGAAGACTGGTATGGGGCTCTTGGTACTATAGGGGCCTTAAAAATTAGAAAAGGGTTTTGGGGCCCATTATACTATAATTATAATAAGGAACCCCCCAAAATAGTATAGGTAATTAGGAAGTCTCTCCGGAATGGCAGGCCCCTGGGTTTGTCTCATCCTTAGCGGTTTTTTTGGAGGCCTGAATACTTGCCCATAGTGTTAACTAGGGCCTTAGGATTTCGGGTCTGGGGGTCCTTATCATACATAAGCATGCAAAGTATAAGGGGACCAAAACCCATTAGGAGACCAAAGTCCATTTTAATTGGAAAGAGACCAAAGCCCTGATCTAAGTTGTTAAGGCCCGTACATTGTTACATTGCTGATCATGATGTTCCTTTCTTCTGGGAAGTCTGACGTGGTGTGTGTCAGGCACAGGGGGAGGGCCTTTGGAACCGTGGGACAAAGCCAGCCGTGGTCCTGAACTAAACAGCCCAAACCCTAACTTTTCAACCCCGAACCCTTAAACCCTAAACCCTCAAACCCTAAACCCTGAAACCCTGAACCCTCAAACCCTGAACGTTTGAAGCCCTAAACTCCAAAAAAAAACAAAAAAACGTTATAAGGGAAGTCCGGAGCTCGAGCCTCCCCCCCTGCAGATGGAAGAAAGCCCTCGGGTAGACGAGGAGGCGAAGCATCGGAGGGGTCTTCGGATGGTAGGGTTCGGGGGTTCAGGGTTTCGGGTTTCGGGGTTAGCCGTAGAGATTGGGTGGTTTCGAATTCTCCGTTCTCAAGTTTGTAGATTTTTGTTGGTGGGTCAAAAGCACTAGTATCACTCAGCCGTAGCATTGCAGTTGTTGTCGAGCAGCAGCAGCAGCAGCAGCAGCAGCAGAAGGAGTGTTGTCATCATCGTTGTTCTATGTGCTTGAATCGCTGTCGGTTCTTGCTGTGACAGATCGCATGACAAGCAGAACGCTGCTGCGTCAAAGCCAAGGACACTGAAGTGCTGCAGACCCGCAAACAGGACCCGCTACCTTTGAAAAGAGTTCGTTCCTGTTCTTGTTGTTGTTGCTGCTGCTGCTGTTGGTGGTAGTGGTGGCGGCGGCGGTGGTGGTGGGCGTGGTGGTGGTGGTGGTGGCGGTCGTGGTGGTGGTGGTGGTGGCGGCGGTGGTGGTGGTGGCACTGCCAATACCAGCTATTCATACTGGTAGTATCAGTCGTAATTGTGCTATCGCGACTTACTCTGTCCTGGTTGGGATGCTCAGGGCTGTGGGGTTGAGGGCTGTCGCTTAATTGATTCATGAAGCAGTGTTGTCCAAAATAGAGTTGCGGCATGCCATATAAGAAGTCATACAGGGACTTTGAGAGGATACCATCAGCTACTGCGACTCCTACATATCTCATATTACTTCGATCAGATTACGGCCCAACAAGACTACGTTTTCCAAAGTAGTCTGAACTTTGGGCTTTCTGGCTAAACCCTAAACCAAACCCCAAAACCGGAAATGCTCGTAGACCTGTGAGCTTCTATTGGTGCCCATGAACAGAACGCAATCGCAATTTGCTTCTCTCTGTCCCGGAGACCGTGTTTGTGGTGTGACGTGTTCGGCAGGGCTTGGGGTTCAGGGACCATAGTGGCATCGGTTTTGCATGGATCCATAGACTTTCCGAAGCTACCACAGAGCAGATCGCCTTTACCTCATGGGGGCAACGCTCCAGACCCTGCAACCTAATAAGATATTGCTTTCACATTCACAATATGCTATAGTATATATAACATACATATACATATATATATATATAGTTTTGTTACGTATATGTCTATATAAATATATAAACGTATATATGTAGTTGTAAAGCCGTCTTAGTACACCTAAACCCTGAAACCAGAACCATCCTTAACTCTGAAAACCATGTAAAACCATCAAACCCTCATCACCGCCAAAACCCTAGCTACGCCTATACGAGTCGGATGTGCAAGGCACAGCCAGGGCAGCATGTAATGATGGAGAACCGTCCTCTGAGCTTTTCGGGATTTCCCAACGGCCCGAATTACGCCCTGCCTGATTATTCTGAACTGCCTTGCTTGTACCTTTTTAAGTACATGGCCTCTAAAACCCAAAGCCTTAAAGACCCTGACGCCCGAAACCCTAAGTCCCAAAGCCATTGAGCCTTAAAGGTGCATCTTTTAAGATTGGCCAGGACTTCAAGGCGGAGCCGTCACTTCCCGTGCAGGACTGCGCAACTACAAGTAAATTACGAAGGTTTTAAGTTTAGGAATTTGTGGTTTCATGCTTTTTTCGTGCACAACATAACATGCTTTAGTACCTAGATACCCCGACCTAGCTACCTCCCTACCTACCTACCTACCACCCTGCTGCGGCTATACGGCTACTGCTTCTGTTGCTGCTGCGACTGCTGCTGGCGCCCTGCTGCTGCTGCTGCGGCCACGGTTGCTGCAGCTGCCACTGCTACCCCTACTGCCACTCCTATATACTCCTGAACCCACCACATGACGACGACGACCACTACCATCACTACCACCACCACGACTACTACTACGACGACTAAGACGGCGTCAACTGCTCATACTTCTACTTCTTCCTCGCCCCCGCTTCAACTGACAGGACAAGCACGAGAAAATGCGAGTGTCCCATGCGCACTCCAACCGCAAGGCCTCTCGGTCCGTGCTTATGCCCTTAGGGTGTTTAGGTTTTCGGGCTGTTCATGTTCATAACTCTTAGGGGTTTAGGGTTGTTCATGCTCACCGCTTTTCCGGGGGTTGAGGGTTCAGGGTTGTTCATGCTCTCCGCATGAACGCCTTTGTTTTTGTGAGTGGTTCATTCTTCAGAGTTCAAGGTGTTGACAAGGGTCGAGGGCGTTTCTGGGCTTGAGTGAGGGGAGTTCCACACTCAATCGAGTTTAGGGTGTAGTGGGTGTCTCCGACAGAAACCAACAGGAAAGCTTCAAAATGCTCCTCCAACCCGACGCACATGCTCAGCCCAGCAAAGAAACCCTTAAAGCCCTGAACAGCGAGACCCGGAACCCTAGAACCCTAAACCCACAGAACAAAGCTCAGGTGCTCCTCCTTTTGTGGGCTGTCGGCATCAACTTGGTGCCTCGTGCCATATCTCCTGAGCCCCCAACATACATTTGTTGCAAAGCTCTGATGCGTGTGTATGTACCTATTCACCTATCTATTTCGCCGCCTCGCTGGAGAAGCTAGAACTAGAACGCTGGCGAAGCTAGAAAGCTAGCTGCCTACCTACGTACCAATCTACCTACCTGCCTGCCTGCTTGCCTGCCAGGCTTGCCTGTTTATCTAAGTTTATCTACTTACCCATCTATCTATCTACCTTTGAGTGCACATAATTAGGGCGCGTGTGTCTTCAGTCCTGATAAGAGGTTTCGGCTTTCAGCAGCAGCTCGACCCATACGCTCTCGACAAGGGACCAAGTGTGAGGTCCTTGCAGCAGCTGCCCAACAACGGGAATTCTTCGAGTTCTACCTGTAGGATTTAGGATGCAGGGTTTTCGCGAGCAGGGGGTGTGTGCGGCTTGAGCCAGGGGAGATTAGGTGATTGGGAACCAAACCACACCACACCTCATAAAAGGGAAGGCATGGGGGGGGTCGGGCCAGCTACTGGGGAGGTGGATGCACCAAGATCATGTATTCGCGTTTTTCTGCAGCAGGTTTGGACAGAGAGGTGATGAAATGTCATGTACAGCCAAGGCCAGCGTTGCCATGACCGCCACGACGCTTGTCTCACTTAACAGCCCTGTTCTGCTGCATGGCCTATGGACCAAAGGCTGACGTGATTAGAAGGAGTTGTTGAACCTCTGCGGTCTTGTCTGGAGACATGCTGTGGTTTTTACAAGGTGTAACACCATGTCAGCAGCTGGAACTTCACATCTGATCATGTCGCAGCTTCCCTAAGTCGGTTTTTGCAGACTGCCGATAACACAGTCATGGAGCGAGGACCGCACAGTTCATCATGCCCAAGATCGTCATGGAGCCCGCGCAGATGGCACAGAAGCTTGGGTTCAGTGAGGAGCATCGGTGCCTTTGTTAGCGTAGGGGGTGTGCAAAAATAGTCATCGTGTCCCCTTATAGTTTTCTCCATAGCTCTACCCCTCTAGTTACACTCAAGCTCTAAAGATGTCTCTGTAGTCTCAAATCTGGAGTCAGCACATCAAGGAGTTGTCGTCGAACAAGTTTGTTAAAGGTTCAGGGCCTTGGGGTTTAGGATCTGTCGAACTGTGCCGAAAAATGTGAGGTGTGCGTAGCAGAGCAATGGACCATTCATCATACTTTTGACTGAAAACTCGCCTCCATTGCTAACACCGTAGCTCCTGCGGTCACAGGAGATGCTTTTCTCAATTGGGATCTATTCGTCGCCACTTCAAAACATAGATGTTCCTGGTCCGTGCCGGCATGCCATAGAGATAACCATCCCAAATACAGCAGCGTGAACAATGAGAAATGTGTTTTGGAATATACCTCAAGTGTAAGGAGCCCAAGGGAAGGTCAAAAAATAACCCTACAGAAGTATCATTCCATAGGGCTCCTTTGTTGTCGCTGTACTTTCAGGTACCCCGAAACCCTGTTCTATGTGCCAACATAGGGGCCTTAATAATTACCTATACTGTTTTAGGGGCTCCTTATTATAGCTATAGTATGATGTACCCCAAAACCCTATTCTAGTTATTAAGGCCCCTACGTTACACCTGAATCCTCGAAACTCCAGATCCCAGCTGCGTCACTTCAGGATGATGCCAAGTTACACGAAGCCGAAGAAGCGCAACAAGAAGCACAACCGCAGCAAGATGAAAAATGGCTCCCGGGCTCCACTTCAGGGTTGGGGAATCATTGTGCTATACGATGTTTAGGGTTTAGGGTTTATGCAGGACTAAGGCTAAACCCTAAACCCTAAGGTTCAGGAGAGCAGGGATTTGTGGTAGAGTTATCGGGGCAACTCTTTCTGGATGGCATTCGTCTTGAATCAGCCCTGGGCATTCCAGGAAATATATCAGGGTCGGGTTTGAGGATTTGAGGTTCCGATTTCGCAGCGTGGCGAAGGGCTTACGAAACTCTGGGCCTCTAATCCCAAGATTGGGCTGTTTTAAGCCAGCCGAAAGCCAAAAAAAGGGCCCTAAACCCATCAGACCCAGGCTTTCGGGTCTTAGGCGTAGCTTAACTTAGGTCCAACTCCAGTAACTTGAGGGCCTGGGATTTCGATGTTGCCATGTTTGGGCAAGTGCCTTTGGCCTGGATTCGAGCCAGCTCCTGCGTACACGTCCGTCTCGGGATGGAATCAGTGCGTGCAACTGCGTCTTTTGTGCCCTTGTTCTTCAGAAATTCGCTGTCATACCATTCGCCCTCAGTAGATGAGAGTAGGAAGCCCTGTCCTCAAAGGCCTCATAGAAATGAATGCTCCTACATATCATGCGGGTTACGACCCCAGACAGCTCCTGCATACTACCTTCATGCAAAGAGCGATGGGGGGACCAGCTACATAGCAGGGGAGCTGCATTTTGCTGGGGGTCTTCTGATAGCTACAGCCATCTGATGGACTGGTAGCTGCTTTCATATTGACACTCATAGCGAATCATACCAATAGCTGCTTTCAAAAGGAGCCAGTCACAACAACATGGGGGGTTTCCGAAAATAGGAGACCCTCAGAAACCCTAAGCCCTAAACCCAAAGCACAAGAGTAAGAATGGGACTAAGCAGCCAAGCGAAAAGGCCCCGAGCCCTCTGAGGTGTTCGTGAGCCCAGGAGCTGGTTCCTTGGGGTGTGGGGCACCAGGCTGTACGGATATATATATATATGTTATCTTATATTATATTATATTATATTATATTATATTATATTATATTATATTATATTATATTATATTATATTATATTATATTATATTATGTTATATTATATTGTATTATATTGTATTGTATTATATTGTATTGTATTATATTATATTGTATTATATTATATTATATTATATTATATCATCCTAGGGAAGCCT